TCTCTCTCTCTCTCTCTCTCTCTCTCTCTCTCTCTCTCTCTCTCTCTCACGTCATCCCACCTTTTTGTTTTTTGTTTTTTTTGCGTTGTGTCAGTTATTTCATGGTGGCTCTCCTTTCTCCACCCACCGGCGTCTACGCCATCGTCCATCCCCTCCACCACCTGCCATCATCCGACTCCCTCCTCGTCATACTTCCACCATCCACTACACCTACCGTAGTCATCTTCCTCCTCAATCTTCCACCTCCTCCCTCCTTCCTCCACCATTTTGCACCTCCTCCCTCCACCACCCTGCACCTCCTCCCTCCCTCCACAATCTACCGCCTCCTCTTCCCGCTATCTTCTTCCCTCCCCATCGTCTCTGCCATGTTCCACTAGTCTTAACGGCTCTGCCTCCACAATCAAACTTCCCTTGTCCCCTCCACCTCCCGCCATCATCTTTCTCCACAACCTCCTCCCTTCTCCCTCCTCCTTCCTCCCTCTGCCATCTCCCGTCCTTCCTCCCTCCACGTCAACCCAACTTCCCTCATCCGCTCCACCTCTCGCCATCTTCTTCCTCCCCCATCTTCCTCCATCCCCTCCACCTCCCACCATCATCTTCCTCCCCCATCTTCGGCATCCTCCCTCCGCCATCCCCTCCCTCCTCCCTTCCCATCTTCCATCTCCTCCCTCCTCCCTCCGCCATCGTTCATCTCCTCCCTCGTCCGCTCCACCAACCACCATGCCCTCCCTCCTCCCTCCGCCATTTTCAACCGCCATCTTTCATTTCCTTCCTCCTCCCTCCAACAACCACCATCCACTCCCTCCTCCCTCCACAATTTTTAACCGCCATCCGTCACTTCCTCCCTCCTCCCTCCGCCATCGTTCATCTCCTCCCTCGTCCTTCCGCCAACCACCATGCCCTCCCTCCTCCCAACCGCCATTTCTTACCACCATCTTTCATTTCCTCCCTCCTCCTTCCGCCATCGTTCACGTCTTTCCTCGTCCTTCCGCCAACCACCATGCCCTCCCTCCTCCCAACCGCCATCTTTCATCTCCTCTCTCGTTCCTCCCCCAACCACCATCCCCTCCCTCCTCCCTCCGCCATTTTCAACCGCCATCTTTCATCTACTCCCTCCTCCCTCCGCCATTCACCATCTCCTCCTTCCTCCCTCGGACGCAGTGCACCATCTGCTTCCACCACACAATTTTTTTTTTTTTTTTTTAATTTCGAATTTCTGGCCTGCTTTAAATTTCCGTTCTTCGTTGGTGGGATAGGGGCTTTGTAGAGTTGGGGGTGGCGGTGGGTGGGGGTCGCTGTGGAGTTTGGGGCGGAGGTGGGGTGGGGGGAAGAGGGTGGGTGAGAGAGGGCTGTCTGAGGGGTTTTTAGAGAGTTTTTGATGAAGGGGCTGACACAACCTTCGCTGTGGGGTTGTGCTTGCAGGGCATAATGGCGCAGAAACACAATGTGACAGTGTTGAAGAGACACTTCACGGACCATGGGCCCCATGGCGCAGATCTGGGCAAGGGGTCGAGGCACATTGCTGCATCTGCACCGAACCAAAGAAAAAAAATAAAAATAAAAAATTGCGGCGCACTAACAGCGCACCCCCCGCGCACCGGCGCACAGCGCACCCTAACACAGTGCACCGCACAGCACACCCTGCACAGCGCACAGAGTGCGCTGCGGTGCGCGCGCACTGGGGGTGTGCGCACAGCGCACAGTGGCCCGCACCGCATTGCGCACCGCACAGGAGCGCCGCAGGTATGATAGATACTTCGAGGTATACAGTACTATACACCCATTAAGATTTGAAAATGCTTCAAAAAAAGAAGAGAAAAACTTCAAAAAAGAAGAAAGGATTCCTAAATGTAGTCCAAGATACACACTCGGAGACAGACACCATCAGCACACTCGTTCAGATTCGAAAATTCTGCGGCCCTGCCGCGCCTGTGATAAGCAACCGACTGATGCCCCCCAGAATAGATGGGGCCTGTGTATTGTGTGCCAAAAGAAAGGGGGGGGAAATCATTGGCTAAGGAGGTAAACAGTCATAGTTAGGTGCACCTCAACACATCGGTTCAAATTTCAAAATTTGAGATCCGTTCCACTCCCCAAGCAGATAAACAATCTGAGGTAGGCACCCTCGAGGGCCTCAAAACATCCAATGGCATTCAGTTTGGCCAAGGATTTGATAAACCACCATATTACATGCCCCAGGCTAAAAAACGAGTGAGTGTGCATACATCTGAAGCTTTCAGAGACTCAGGTGCAAGGAAGATGAGCAATAGCGAACTTCGGCAATCAAACAGCATCATACATATGAGTCCAGATAGTCTTGACCTCGAACCAACAGCAGAATTGCATCACGAAATTCACCAAATAAGAACACACCAAGAGTTCATAATTGACCATGCTGAAATAGACCCATCATCATCATCAACGAAGAACCAGAGTTGATATCCTATCTGGCGTTCGGCGCCCAGACTACTTGTGGCAGATCCTATCTAGCCTATACTACAATGCCGAAGTTGACGACAACAGCTCCCCTGAAGTACGAGCATACAGCGACCAATGTCGCACGCTTCCAGCACCAGGTATGTCTCTCGCCTTACTCACAACCTCGTTCCCCAACACACAGATGCCACTTGCACCCAAGGACCACCCTGCGCCACACCCAGCTTACAGCAGCGCAGCTCGGCTATGGCTGCCTGCTCCTTCCCTGCTCGCCCGTGAGCGCGTAGGCGCCGGCCAGCAAATAGCGCAGCAGCGCTTGCCCAGCATGCAGCCAGCACCCGAATGCCGAATGAGGAGGCAGGCCCTTTGCTATATCGAAGTGGCCTGCCTGCGTCCAGTCCCAGGAAGCTTCCAGTAGGCCCCAGTAGCCTGAGGGCCAGCACGATCGAGAACAGGCCTGGGGCCTGAGGTGGTTGCATGCGCCAAACTGCCTTTGTCATGTCTTCGGCCCAGTACCCGTATCCAGCCCAGGGCCTACTTTCCATACATTCACACAGGCGGCCCAGGGCCAAAGTAGGGCCCTGAGGGCCTCGTCGAGCCTGCCTTCACTTAGGGCGGCCGGCGGGATCCAAAATGGGGGCTGAGTGGGGCTCATAGAGGCAGTGGCCTCGCACAAGGCTACCGTCTTCACCCGAATAGAACGCCCGGTCATTATCGCTGTATTTAGACTGGAAGAGTTGGCCCAAATACAGCTATAATGACCGGGCGTTCTATTTGGGTGAAGACGGTAGCAAACCAAAATGGCTGGCACCCTCAACCAGCGCGAACAGAACTCATGCCTCCACCAGTTTGTTTTTCTTTGGCACCCAGCATTATTTCAGATTGGTCATTAAAAAAAAAAAAAAGCCTCGGACGAAGTGGTGGTTTAAGTGCTCACAGTTAGGCACCCTCAACACATCCATTCAAATTTCTGTATGCATTTCCAAGTGATCTTTCTCTGCTACAAAGTGTCAGAAGGGGGAGGGGAAGGAGGACACAAAAAGAAAGAAAAAAAGAAAAAAGAAAATATTGGCAAGGTCCAATTGCACGGATGAAGAGAATGATCTTGACCTGAGATAACAAAGATCGACAGCCACGGAAAAAAAAAAAGATCGACGGCGACAGAAAAAAAAAAGATCGACGGCGACCAGTATTCCTTAACTGTGCAGTGCAAGTTGGACCTCTCTCGCCCCTGGACAACCAACCCTGTGTCACCACATGGCACATACCGACAGTGTTTATTTATTTTGGTGGCTACTGTCTTCATCTGAATAGAATGGACGGTCATTATCCCTGTATCGGGATTCAGAACTGAAAATTTCCCCAAAATAGATCGACTGCGACCAGTATCCCTATAATGACCGTGCTTTCTATTCGGGGTAGAGACGGTAGCATCTGGATTCTGGAGTCACTTTTCTTATATCCTTGTCCTTTTTTTCCAGAGTACGTTGGACGATGCAAAGAAGCTCACAGCTTCTGTAGGGAAGCGAGAAAAAGAAAAAGAAAAAGCAAAAAAAAAAGTTAAAATCGGAAGGAAAAAAAAAAGTGGGAAGAATTTCAAGAGAAAAAGCTTACGGTGCAAGTTGAATAGACTTCGTGTAGTCTTCTAATGCTTCATTAAGCTTTCCCTGATCACCATCAACGATAAAATTTCAATGCACATTCTCTTTCTCTCTCTCTCTCTCTCTCTCTCTCTCTCTCTCTCTCTCTCTCTCTCTCTCTCTCTCTCTCTCTCTCTCTCTCTCTCTCTCTCTC